GTGGTGTGTTCCTTACCCCACTAACAAATGTAGTTAGGGCTCCGCTAAATTCTGAAGATATCAGATTAGGAAACTTTTGTGAATGAAGCAACAGCACTAGGAAATTAGCACATGCAGTGCTCTTGGGAATGCCATGTTAAGAAATGTCTTAAAAAAACATAGTAGCATCCATGAAATTCATAATGATAGGCAGGGCAATGTTCCCATGATGAGGAGAACATGAACTTTGAAGACTTGTTTGGCTTTATCTTTGGCAATTAGGAACAACAGGGAATCCTTTGGGTACTAAAATAATCCTTATTAGCTTTGCAGAGGTAAAATCTTCTGTGCTTAATTATTTAAAGGGAGCTGTATAATGGGTTTCCTGGAAGCATGTGACCCACAAATCACTTCATCCATATCTGCATAATGCACGTGTCATCAATCTTATTTCATTTCAAGATCACTTAAAAAAAAAAACCTTGCCAATCTGCTCGTTGCTCCTTCGCAGTGCAAACACACACAGCTTGCAGTGTCATTTGCCGTCTGTGCTTCATAGGAGCCAGCTGCAAATGTTCCCCACAATTAGCATTTTCTGTAAATTTCTATCTTTGACTCAGATTTAAATGGAGTCTGTGACCTGCCTAGTTGGTAGCTGTTGCACATTAATGACCAGATCCGCCCTGGGTGCAAGTTGGTGCAGCTCCACAGACGTCAGCGGGGCTATGCCTGCACCAGCTGAGACTCCGGGCACAAATGGAAGTCCAGTCATACAAATGGCCTCATAAACTGAATGTTTTATGACTATTCATTTGAGCCAATATCTCTTTGTTTGGATATTTGGCCTCTAAACCAGATGCTTTTGTAGGAATTACATAGGGAAATTTTGCAAAAATGATACTGAACTTGGGGTCCATGTCATTTGCTTTCATAACCACTTTTAATAGGGATTGACCCAAAGGCTATTGAAGCCTGTTTGGATCAGGCCCTTAAAGACTGTAGTTTTTTTTTTTAAGTGCAATGCATGCAGAAAATAATTAAACAAGACAAGTATCTGGGTATCCGAAAAATATACAGGGTCAGATTTTGGCCCAGCTATGCGGGGATATAAGGCGGTGGCCACCCCACACAAGGCAGAGCACATTAAATTAGGTTAGTTAACCTAATAAACTGCACCTGGGGGAGAGCCAGGGATTGAAAGGGTGGCTGTGATGGAGCCCTGCTGAGAGGGAACACGCAAGACTAGTATAAAGCCAGGAAGTGTCACGAAGGACCCTATAGCTACTCTCTGGATGTTAGAGAGGGAAGGAAGGAAAGATAGAAGCTTGGGGGAGATGGAAGCCCTGAAGAAAGGGTTTAGCCAGATGGGCAGTAGAGCAGAAGCCTGAGAGAAATAGAGTAGGAGGTGGCAGCAAGGTGGGACATTGTAGACCAAGGCTACTGATCAGATGGTCCCTGAGCTGGAACATGGAACAGAGGGTGGACCCAGGTTCCCTGGCAGCCACTGGGGATGTGGCACAGTCTGGGTAGTGAGGGAGAAGACTGCCATTTTGGGTGGAGAGATGTAGCTAACACCTTGAAGGGGAAAACACACATAGTGACCTGGCTGGAGGACCATGCCACAAAGAGGGAGCACAATGAGTCAGAGAGAGAGAGAGAGAGAGAGAGGAGGAG